TGTTGACTTTTAGGGATTAGTCAGTGTTTGGACTTATGAGCCATTAGAGGGGCAGAATGGTCTTTTACCCTTCTTAGAGAACTTATAGTGAGGAGTTGGCCTAGCCTTTAGAAGTTGTATTAATTAGAGAATTTATTTATGTGATTAGGTGAAGGCTAGTACAGTATTTCAGAGTTCGAGGTTTACCGAGTTACTCGAGGTGAGTCTTCTCACTATACTTTACCTAGGGTGGTAATTAGAGTTATGTGACAGAGTATTTTGTATGCTTTTGCATGATGTGATTTTTATGTGATTTATGCTATGTATGTACCAAAGTTTACAAAGTTAGGACCGAAAGGTCCACAGAGTTAGGGCCAGAGGGCCCACAGAGTTATGGGACTGGAGGGTCCCACTGAGACACATTGACCAGATGGTCAAACAGAGTCATAGCCTCGAGTGGCTAATATGTGTTGTGTGTGGTATTTTGGGGAACTCACTAAGCATTTATGCTTACAGTGTTTTGTGTTATGTGTTTCAGGTACCAGTGAGGATCGCGGGAAGGCGCCGGCATGATCAGTACACACTATTGGAGTTTTATATATTATGATCTTGGAATGTGTTTTTATGGATTTGATATGTGATACATTGGAATTTGAGAATATTTATGAATGAAATCATATTTTAAAAAGTGAAAAATTGTTTTGAAATTTACGGTGTTACAAACGGTTTAGCATCACATTATGCTAATTGTTATATTATTTCCAGCAAAGTAGGATGAATCGAATGATTAATGCTAAGTGCATTAATCATTTATAGTAGAATAAAAATAGAAAAAAAACGGTTTAGCATCACATTATACTAATTGCTATATTATTTCCAGCAAAATAGGATGAATCGAATGATTAATGCTAATTGCATTAATCATTTATAGTAGATTTTATAAGAATGAAGGTTCGATATCAAACACAAACCATGAAGAAGATGAAGGAGAAGCAAATAAATGTAGAAATATGAACGATAGAATAAAGACTAACCTTATGGGTTGAACTTTGATGAAGCAAAAATTCTGAGATGCAGTCGAAACATAAAGAATACGAAGCAGAAATACCATATATCCAAGTAACCGGTGAATATATAATTCAAAAACTGAAAGGATTGTGATGTTTACGAAATTTAAGGTAAGATGTTGCGTTATCTTTAAGGTGATTACATTTTTAGTGCTAAATTTGTATAGAATTATATAGATATAGATATACGAAATATAATTGAAAAATTCTTCCTGATTTTATGTGATTTTTAATGCAGGTTTATTGGAATAGGAAGATTTGAAATTTGAAATCCGAAAATTTAAGGTAAGATGTTGCGTTATCTTTAAGGTGATTACATTTTTAGTGCTAAATTTATATAGAATATGAAATCCGAAAATTCATAATGATTTTATTTGATTTTTAATGCAGGTTTATTACAATAGGAAGATAGGAAGATTTGAAATATGAAATCCGAAAATTGAGGATTGAGGAATAGCATATTAATAGGGACAACTACTTTTTTCGGTAAAGGGCAAATAAGGAAGTTAACTTAGCCTTTTGAGCGGGAAAAATTGATGGGGGAGCTCATAGAATGTTACGTGGCGAGTTGGTACTGTTTTATTAGATTACATTTTCTAAACTATATACATTTCAACGAATGCTTCAAGCTTTGTCGTTAACAAAGTTATTAATTTTGTTATCTATATATGGATATGTATTTAAATTTATGTAAAAACAATTCTTTAATTATGTATATAAAATTATTTTCATACATGTGTATATTAAACATAAATAGTTTACAAAAATCACTAAAAGGTATTTATGTCATTTTTATTATTGATTTTTCAGATTCCATTTTTTTGTCATACAAACACTCCTCTAGGTTTGAACTCCATCTAAGTTCCAACTTCACTAATATTTTAATTTCTTCTAGAACATTATGTGTACCAAACAAATCCTAATTCTTTACAAGAAATATGTGAAATCTCAAGTTGAGTTCATGCACCTTACGTATTCTAAAAGAAAATTAATTCACCCATCTTGGATCAAAATTTTATTCCAAACATATAATATAATAATTAAACCTCCAAGTCATGGAAGTATGTTTCTTCGTTTCTTCATATAAAAAGATGTTTCAATTTTTCTCGAAGGAGGTGGGAGGGGAATTGAAATCATTTTTTCTTGTCAGTTTCTTGATGATGGCAATCGTGAGTTTTTTAGGGGATGGGGAATCGTAGGGAATGAAAAATAATAAGGAAAAAGAATTTAAGGGTGAATTGGAAGTTTCATGTAGTAGTAGCATGGAGTGGTGGTATGATGTGGAAGAATGAGAAAGTGAGGGATAGAAAGGTCAAATGTGTTTTGTTTCATATTTTGGATGAGGCTAAAATTCAACAAAAAAAAATCCATTTGACTTGGTCAACATCTTACGATGTTCGTCATGTGAAAAGGCCATGTTCTTTTCTTATCCAATCCCATGCATCAAATTCTACCATATGTAAAAGTCACAATTAGGTCCCGTTTGATAGTTACTGTCTGGGAAAGTGTTGTCTGGTAAAGTGCTGTCTGGAAAAGTTTTCCGACTGAGAAAGAATGATTGTACATCTGATTGACAGTGTTGAATGATGAAAAAAGTAATAATTCAATAAAAAATAAATTTAAAAAAAGTTATTTAAAAAAATTAATAATCCAATAAAGAAAGAAAGAGGCGGGGTTTGGTGTATAATTGTCTTTCCAGCCCATTTAGCCAGAAAGATATGATTTTGGGGCTTTCTGGGAAAGACATATCTTACCGGGAAAGACCCCTTCTTTTGTGCAAATCAAACGGTCTTTCCGGTCCATTCAGCCAGAAAGATCTGTTTGGACCTGGAAAGATGTGTATCAAACGGGGTCTTAGTAAAACATGATGTGTTTGTGTGCTTGCCTGTGTACACACTCCTTAACAATATACAATTTACAAGTCTATAAAAACTTAAGTTGAGTGTTACATACAAATAAAAGTTAAGCCCCGTTTGATAGTTGCTGACTGAGAAAGTGCTGACTGAGAAATGTCTGTCTGGGTAAGAAATCCTGGCTGAGTAAGAAAACATGTTGTTTGATTGTTCATCTGATTGAATGTGCTGACTAATGAAAAATGACCATTTTACCCTTTGCTCTATAAAATTTGTTCTATACAGTGATGTAAATTACACACAGATCCTTTAAAAATCCAAATAAAAATTATAAAAAAAGTCATTGTTTTTATAAAGTTATAAATAAATTCATTGTTTTTCTAACAATTCAAACAATTTATTCATCGACCAAAATTGATACAGAACAACAGTAAACATAAGAATAACACTTTGACCAAATTCCCCCTGCTCCATTTTTATTCCAGACCATTCCATGAGCATAGAACTTTGAAAAATCTTGCTTTCCTTGAAAAGAAAAAGATTGAATTGCCCTTTAGACAAAACCGTATAACTCCAACTCTTGAACAATTATAAAACATACTAAAAATTATCATACTAATATTTCTTAACTAAAACATATAACCCTATAGAAGCTTTATTGATCGAATAACCTCCAATTAAAGCCTCTTTTTCCAAATTAAATAAACTCATCAGGTGGTGATAATGTAGTATCAACGCATTGAATGAGTGACTGTTATGACATAAAAGAAACATTTAATGGCAATTACAATTTATGACCAACATAAGCAAAATCTCACCGAAATTAAGAATCCAAATCAGCTTCTCACAAAGAAAAAGTGCAGACTGAAAAGGGTGTTTCAAAGAACTCAATTACACAAAATCGGCAGCTTAATTGAGCATATAAGGATATAACCAACAAAGTAAACTTTTCACCCTTCAAGAATTATAAAAGATTAGACGAAACAATAAATAATTCATAAATCGGTTCAATAAAACAAACACTTGACGATTTTCAAACAAATTCACCAGTTCAAGAAATTATCTGAGAGCAGCAACAAGAACATACCCAATTCATAGAGATCGTTATTTAGAGCAAAAACAATTCTGATTTTAGAGCTTATAAACAAAGAACTTCTAATTTTAAAGGTTATGTAGTGATTGGGAGGATGAAGATCTTACATTCCGGAGAAGATGAAGATCCGACCGAAGGAAGGAGGAGGAGATCCGAAGGGAGATGCAGCGATTGGGAGGGAGCTGTCCGTTGAAGGCGATGGAGGACGCTGTCTTTTTTAGGTCACGAGAAGAATTATTGAGGGCATGAGTGTCTTTTGGGCAAGTCAGCAACTTCTTCACATCTGACCGAGACATACATTTGGGCTAGACAATCTAACTGAGACAGCCCGTATCAAACACAAATGTCTGACCGAGTAAGCTGAAACATCTGACCCAAACCGAGTCAGATGGGTATCAAACAGGCCCTTAGTATATGTTTGATTTTTATATTTATTTCATAAATAAAATAAAAATTAAATCTAACGTATACATTTTGGGGATCTTTGGGTATTCAGAATACAACTCCTAACCCTTGCCCCTAACATTTTGTTAAAAATACTCCCACCAATCGAGAATGGAACCCTCTCAATAAAGGTGAGGCCGAGAAACAGTTTGATATCTTGACAAGGATTCCTTAAGGAAATCTGAGAACTCATAACACTAAATTGAACTTTTTTTTGCTTACAGTTTAAATTAGATAGAAAAATATGAGAAACTCGAAAAAAAAACATGAAATATGATATATCCAAAGTTATCGGAGAGGAAATGTAAATATAAAAAGAAATGAAATATTCTCATATCTTTTATTTTTATCCATCTTCTTTTTTATCCATGTTAAATGGTGACATTCGTAATATTTAATAAAATTAATAATATTTTAATATATATATATATTCATCCTGACTAGGAAAGAAAAGATAAAAGAATATTTACTTTTTCAAAGAAAAATATAAGATTTGAGAAAACAAATCTTATTCCAAATTACAAAATATAAAAAAACCGAGAATTTGGATCTACCCTTCTCAAACGAGTCGATTTGGGCCAAAAAAAGAACAAACGGGTCATTCTGATGGTTCACCCAAAGACCCCAAAACAGAAGCGTCTTCTTCGTTAAACATCATCTTCTTCTTCTTTTTCCTGCTTGAATCCTCTCGTCAATAACTGATTCATCATCTTCGCTCAAATCTCTACCCTGTTTAAACCAGGTAACTTCACAATCTGCTGCGACTAACTGCTCATTTCTCATACTATATTCTCATTTGATTTCTTCAATTTGTAGTTTAGGGTTTCATCCATTTCGCTGTTCCAGTTTTGTAGTTTAGGTGTATACTATGATGCGTTGAAATAAATTTATGGTCCCAAGATAAAATTAAACATTCGTTCCCCATATGTTTACATAAGTTATAATGTTCTGCCGAAAATATCAGTTTGATTATCTCAAACCAGTAGACCTAATTCTCTGTTCGAATTTACGATTCCCTTTGCTTTTAAAAAATATGTTGCATACTTATTTCAACGACACAAAACTCAAACTATATGAGTATGTGGGCAATATGAATTACGAATGCCTAAAGCTAATTCACCTGGTTAATATTTCACTGACAGTTGAACTTCTGTTAAAACCCCTTGTTGCATAGCTGGCGATTGAGTGATTCAAAGCTATTCTAAGTGGGAATGCAAAACGTGCTCCATGCTAGAAAGGGCATTCTTGATACATCAAAAAAGGTATGTCTTTTAGCTTATTGCTGATGTGGGGTTAAGACTTAAAGAACCCCATGATGCCTGTGAACAATTTGAGAAAATGACATCACTACGTTCTAGTGGATATGTGGATCCTGGATGGGAGCATGGTACTGCTCAAGATGTAAAAAAGAAGAAAGTGAGATGCAATTATTGTGGGAAAGTAGTTAGTGGTGGGATTTATAGATTGAAACAACATTTAGCTAGAGTATCAGGAGAAGTAACATATTGTGAAAAGGCTCCTGAAGAAGTCTGCTTAAAGATGAAAGAAATCATGGAAGGATGTCGAATTGGTAAGAAACCAAAACAAATTGAATATGATGAACAAGCATATCTCAATTTCCCTTCTAATGATGATGTTGAAGAGGAAGAACATGTTGGGTATAGGAATAAAGGGAAACAGTTAGTAGGGGACAAAGGTTTAGTGATAAACATGGCGCCTCTTAGGTCATTAGGGTATGTTGACCCTGGTTGGGAACATGGGGTTGCTAGAGATGAAAGGAAGAAAAAGGTTAAATGCAATTACTGTGATAAAATAGTGAGTGGAGGGATTAATCGATTCAAGCAACATTTAGCTAGAATACCTGGTGAAGTTGCACCTTGTAAAAGTGCACCTGAAGAAGTTTATTTGAAGATAAAAGAAAATATGAAATGGCATCGAACTGGAAGGAGGCATAGAAGACCTGAAGCTAAACAAGCTTCACCTTTTTACATGCACTCTGAAAATGAAGATGAAGAAGATGAACAAGAAGAAGATGAAATACAAGGACAAGGGCATCTACTAATGAGCAATGAGAAACTATTATTAGGTGATAAAAAAAGATTCACAAGTGATTCAAGAAGATCCGATTCCTTTTCAAAAAAACCAAAATCCGAAACCCTTTTGATACATTCACATTCACCAAAGAGTCAAATATCAGGTAAAGTATCACGAAAGGAGGTGATGTCAGCAATTTGCAAGTTTTTTTATCATGCAGGAGTTCCCACACATGCAGCAAACTCACCTTATTTCCATAAGATGTTGGAGATGGTGGGACAATGTGGGCAAGAATTAGTGGGTCCCACAAGTGTTATGTTATCAGGGAGGTTTTTACAAGATGAAATCTTGACCATTAAAACGTATCTAGCTGAGTATAAAGCTTCATGGGCAGTTACTGGTTGTTCTATATTAGCAGATAGTTGGAAAGATTCACAAAATCGGACATTAATCAATATTTTGGTTTCATGTCCACGTGGTTTACACTTTGTTTCTTGTATTGATGCCACTGAATTTGTTGAAGATTCACAAAGTTTATTCAGGTTTCTTGATAAATTTGTGGATGAGATGGGTGAGGAAAACGTTGTTCAGGTATTCAATTCAATTCAATTCCATTCTTCCTCTTCTATCAAAAGACCAAAATACCCTTTTGATTTTGTTAATATATTCTAGGTTATCACGGAAAACACACCAAGCTATCAAGCAGCTGGAAAGATGCTTGAAGAAAAAAGACAAAATCTATTCTGGACTCCATGTGCTTCTTCTTGTATTGAACAAATGCTTGAAGATTTTTTAAAAATAAAATGGGTTGCAGAATGTATAGAAAAAGGTCAAAAAATCACAAAGCTTGTTTACAACCATATATGGTTATCAAGCTTAATGAAAAGAGAATACACAGGGGGACAAGAGCTTCTTACACCATCTTTCACTCAAAATTCTTCAAGTTTTTCAACATTACAAACCCTAATGGATCATAGAATTTCTCTCAAACGTTTATTCCAATCCACTAAATGGCTTTCATCTCAAGTTTCAAAATCAGAAGAGGGTGAAGAAGTTGAAAAAATTGTAATGAATGCTACTTTTTGGAAAAAGGTGCAATATGTTAGGAGATCAGTGGGCCCTATTCTTGAAGTGCTTCAAAGGATCAACAGTGATGATGGACTTTCAATGGCATATATATACAATGACATGTACAAAGCAAAACTTGCTATAAAAAGTAACCATGGTGATGATGCAAGAAAATATGGAAACTTATGGAGCATAATAGACAATCACTGGAATTCATCTCTCAATCATCCTTTGTATCTTGCTGCTTATTTTCTAAATCCATCATACAGATATCGACCTGATTTTGTTATAGTAAGAAAAATTAAATCTTCCCTTATCCAGTTATCCTCCCTTTTGTTACAGTAACAAAAGACGTAAATACCCTCGTCATTTATTACAGAAGCTGTTTTCTTATGTTTTACTTATGTGGTTTATTTATTTAGTATCCTGAAGTTGTTCGTGGACTAAATTCATGCATTGTTAGGTTTGAGCCAAACAATTCCAGAAGGGTTTCAGCATCAAAACAGGTATAATAAACTATTTATTAATATAATAATATAACACAAATACTCCTCCATTTTTATTATAGATTTCTGAAATTTGGTCATTCTGATTTTGATATTTTGTTATAGATTTCAGATTTTGGTTCTGCAAAAGCTGATTTTGGAACTGATTTGGCTATTAGCACTCGAACAGAACTAAATCCAGGTAACTACTGTGTAGTAAAAGACGTAAATGCCCTCCTCTTCTTTAGAAAACTATAATTGATTCTGTTTTTTTTTTTTTTTTTTTTTTTTTAAAGCTGCATGGTGGCAACAACATGGGATAAACTGTCTGGAGCTTCAACAGATTGCTGTAAGGATATTGAGTCAAACATGTTCGTGTTTTGGGTGTGAGCATAATTGGAGCATATATGATCAGATTCATAACCAAAGGCAGAATCGAATTGCACAAAAAAGATTGAATGATTTTATTTATGTTCATTACAATTTAAGACTTAGGGAAAGACAAATTAGGAAGATGATGCCAAACACATCGGCTTCCATGGACACAGTTCTTCAAGAAGCTTTATTGTATGATTGGATTGTAAAACCAGAAAAACAAGCATATCAAGAAGACGAGGTAATATTTTTAAATATGATATATGAATACATGAGTTAAATGAATAATATGAATTTGGAATATTCAGGAGCTTTGTAGTGAAATGGAACAAGGGGATCCATATGAGAATGGGTTGGTGGAATATGAAGAGGGGAGGAAGGGTTCATTACAGGTGGTGACAATGGTGGACATTGAACCATTAGATACTCATCCAAATCCAGCCAATAATGTTGAAGATGAAGATGATGACTTAAATTTTCTGGATGATGGGTTGAGTGATTCATAGATGGGTGTGGCACATAATGCTAGAGGAAGAGTGTTGTATAGGGTGGTGTTAATGTTATGATGTTTTACCACTTGTTGTAATGCAAAATGATGTGTTGGTTTTTATGAAAGGGCATTGGGTTCTTAATCATATCATTGACAGAGTGAATGATAAAAATGTGTGTAGTCCCATTAAGGCAAGTGTTAAACAATTGTGTTTTAGGAGCATAATGTGAGAATTGCATAAAAACTAGATTATAACCCGCATTAAACGCGGGGAAATGCATAAAAAAAGTACAAATTGTTGAAGGACATATCTGTAGACAACTTTTTATGTTAAAAAGAATTGGATGCATTAATGGGTTAAAATGAATTTATTCAATTCTTCAATACATATATTAAACAAAATTAATATTATAAAACAAAATAAGAGATGAGTTGGCGATTAAAAAAATTAACGCTACGTTTGATATCTTTTCCATCAGCCACTGATTACCACGGTAAATAACATCTTTAACATGACGATCAAACAATACAAAAGAAGCATACCCAATTTCATATTGAACACGAATTACGACCCTCACCCTAAAAATTATAAAATGACACTTTAATGGACAATGAAATAATATTGGAAACATTCGAATACAGACTAATGGCACAAGAACTTTACAAATGTAAAATTATGAACTTACTTGCTGTAAACATCAGAAACTCCACCACAAGCATCACAAGTAAATGGTTCAGCATTAGTATCATCATCATACTTACTTTTTTTGAACAGTCACAACAATAAAAAGAATACCAGCCTTCGTCTAAATCAAAACCGATGACAGTAGAATCCAATCCAAATACAAACACACACGCAATCCAAACACATAATCCAATCCAATTAACACAAAACTAATTAAACTGAATTTTACGTTATCCAATCCAGACATAGAATCCAATCCAAACACACACACACACACACACACAGAGTATTAAGTCCGTTTATCAAAAACTCACTAATAAGTCATTGATACATATACTGAACACATAAACTATAACCAGATGTAAGAAATTAATCGGTAAATCAAATTTTTTTTTGCTAACCTTATGAAGCTGGTATTCGAACGTGATGCTGCAAAGTCCAGATTTCACGAATTTATGATAACAACTTAATGAGATTATACTTATACATAATTTTAAACAACGATTTTGGAAAGGATATGAAGAAATTAATACTGTGATTCATATCATACTATTTTGAATTCTTTGATTTAAAATTCTATAAGTATGAAAGGTATATACAAATTAATTGATTTTAAAAAGGAAGGAATCATATTTATGTTTTGACAATTATGCTACATTTATTTCATTTCAATACATTCCAATTAAAAATTTCATTCACCGTTAATAAGTTTTCAACTTTCCAAACATAGTCAATTGAATTTAGTTAATATTAATTTTATTTTATTTTATGATGACATCATCAAAATGATCTAATGATTGAAATTAATCAATGAAACATAATGAATGGCCCTGATTGTTGAAGGTGATGTCATCAAGTTTCTCTTTTAATATATAAAGATGAGTGTAATGGATGGGTAATGGAATAAGCATGTTTTGGATTGTAGGAATGTAAAGAACGACTGTAGGGGTGTAGCAGACATGACAGGAAATGCTACATGTGGTCCAAAATATCGCCCATAAGTCAGTGAAACTCCGTCTTCAAAATTGAATGGTATAAAATAGAGCCTTACATGTAGGTTCATACCTATGATTTGACCCATAGTCCTAGGATGACCAAAAGACCAAAAAACAACTAGTAAAGTTGCCCCTGCCAAGTTGTCATCAAATCAAGAAGTGACCTAAAACGTGAAGATTGTAGAGGAGATAACATTTGTAAGATTCGTGCGAAGGTATATACTTATTGATTCGATAGTAATGCGGGTGGCAGTTGGAGACTACTTTCATGAGTTTCCACTGTAATATGTATGCATTCATTCCGGTAAATATGATATTTCTCATGAGTTATTTGTAATATTTTTAGATTCATTTCATAAAAGTGAAGGACTTTGTTATAAATGTGATGCCCATATCACGTAATATATTACAAAACAACACACTAGTTACTTAATATATGTTACCAAATTTAATCTACTCGTAAATTTATTTAATAACAAAATTAAGTAACATTTGAAGGTTATATTTCCTAATCATCTATAATTTTGTCAAAAAAAAAAACTAGGAATGTATATCTATATTTCTAGTTAATTACAACTCACGTGAAAGATTAGTCTCTAACACACTTCTGTTTAGTTATTATCAAACTAAAAAGTGGGTAAACATTCAAAAATAGTCTAATTATAAAGTCAAAACGACGTGTTTAACAACGAAAGCAATTTCAGTTTTGAATAAACTAAAACCATTTTGCCCGCCAATGATCATTTTGTAAAGCTTAGGAAGATTAAAACACAACCATAGGAAGGAAAACGTCACAACCTTTGAAGACTTTGATTCCTCTCGGAAGATGGAAGTTGATGAAGTGATGCATGGAGCTCCAGTGAAGAAGTTCTCTACAAGTATCCACCAAGCAAGAATAAAGCACCATAGATGCTAGTCTTCATTTGTATATATGTTTTTTCTTAAGCCTTAAGAGTTCATACCAAATGAACCTTAAAAAGAAGCAACATATTAACTTTTAATTCAAGCACCAAATTGCAATAAGAAGGAAATGAAGAGAGGCTCTCAAAACCACAAAATGGCAGCCATCTTCCCATGAAGAAAAAAAGTGGAAAAATCACTAGTTTTTGCCTCATACACTTTTTATACGCTTGGACAAAAAGTAGGAAGGAACCATATCATCTAGCTAGTCAAAGCATGGGCTCAAAGGACAAGTAAGTGTGAAAGAGATTAACTAACAAGCAACCATCTTCCCATGAAGACTGTTTATGGTTTTGACTACAAACTAGTCAAAGTTAGTTTGTCTTCCACTTCAAATATCAACTAGTTACATATGTCAATTAGATGATTATTCAAAGTGTTCAAATAATTGTGCATGTCATATATTCATACCTTATGAATATAACTAGTTTTGTTCTATTTGACTATTATTTCATAGAATAATAAATTCCAATGTGTAGGTAAAATATTATTTTCATAAAATAATAATTATCCAATTAAATACAAGTATTGATAATATTTATTAATAATCAAATTACTTTAATAAATAATCAATTAGTAGTAACTTGCTATAAGGTGTGACCCTATAGGATCATATGCAAATAACAAATATCATTTTATAATTACTCTTGGACATAAAGATCTTTCATTTGATGTTTGGAACCATATGCTTCGCTTGGAAACATAGTTTTCTAGTTGAACACGATGAATGGAGTTTAGCAACAAGGTCATTTGAGTTGAACACCATATGGTTAGCCATTATGGAAAAAAGGACATCGTGTACATCAAGCATTAAACGTGAAGCCATGATTGTGACATTAATCGGATACCCATTTGAGAGTTACACTGATCGAAGAGGGTAAATGATTGTGTGGTGGAACTAGTGGATGATGAAAGGTGAAATGAGGATGATGGATTTTGGACAAGAATGGTGTTGGTTGAGTGGAAAGAGGAAGAGAGTGAACTAGAATGTGGTGCTTTCCATGAGGAGCCGAGTAACAGTATGGATATGGTGAGGCCCTATCCCTTCTCGTGCTGCTTGCTGCAGGGGCAGTGGTGAACTAGCAGGAGATGGCAAAATAATGGAAGAAAACTTGATATGAAGCCATATATGTAGAAGAATCGATTGTGATCCCTAAGAAATTATGGTTAAATGTGTCTTCTCTTACCGTTTATGGAAACATACACACACACATACATGTAAATCGATGATGAACACATACAAATTTGAATACTTATGCTTTTGTTCAATGGAAAACATACATACTCCAAAATCGAGAATGTGGAGATCTAAGAAGATGAACTTGAAGAAACTCGATCCCAATTAGAAGCTCATGGGTGAAAACAAGTATCAAATCAAAAACTCGATCCTATTTCACTATTTTTTTAATGTATTTGAGAAGTAACATGTGGCGATTTCCATGTCTTCGTTTTGTGTATTTTTTTGTACCGAATGTTAGATTGAGTTGAAGTAAGCATTAGTTTGTTTCTTTTTGATGCTTCGATTAGGTTCAAGGAAGACGAATATGATGACGGTGGTGGTTTTCAGTAGATATGATATCGACGATGATGGTTTTGGCATGGTTTACAGGTAGAGAAGATGGGGTTACAAAGCAAATGAAAGGGTGGGTAAGGGTGTATGCATGGTGAGATAAAGAGAAAGTGAGGTTGTGGTAGCCACATCAGCCACTAAGACCAAGACCGGTCAGCTGCCAACACGGTATTGTAATCGTCTAGAGAATAAAAAACCTGCTAAATGACATTTACACAAACAAATCTTGTAAAATTTCGGTTTCAATTCATGAAAAAGTAAATTTATGGTAAAACCATATTTAAAAACTTAAAGTTCCGTAAACTTTTTGTTAAGAAAAAATTGCAAAAATGGTCCATGTGGTCAGCAAAATTCTGTGATTTTGGTCGGTCCCTATACATTTAAAAAGACGGTTATGCCCTTACACTTACAAAGACAGTTATAGTCTAATATTAGATCTTTTTATTGGTTTTGGTCCCTATACACTTAAAAAGGTGGTGTGTATTCTTTTATTTTTTTTATTAAAAAGAATAAAAAATATAAAAGAATATTAAAAAAAACAATTTGTCATTTTATGTGGGGTATAGACCAAACCCATACAAAAATACGAACCATAGAAACCAAAAACACATAAAGTATCTGAAATTAGATTACCGAAGCACCATCAAATTTTTTTAACCAGAATCAGGTAATTTTATAATTTTAACAAGTACCATTTTTATAATGTTGTCTTGTTAAATATTCTTTTTAGACAAAACTGCAAAATTGGTCTCTGTGGTATTCAAAAAACTTTGGATAGGATCCAAAAAGTTTTTAACTTGCATGGAAGGTCCAAAATCAAGAATTTACTGTGATTTTAGTCCAAAAAATATTGAAATGACTATTTTGCCCTTCTCATTTCATTTTTGTATTTTTATATTTGTTTTAATACCTTCTTAATTAAAAAAACAAACAAAAGAAAAATAAAAAATAT